GAACAGTATCACACACGTAGACCTGTCAGGGTTGGAAGGGACTTCTAGAGATCATTTAGTCCCACTCCCTGCTAAAGCAGGATGGCCCAGAGCACATTCCACCATCCAGGTGGCCTTGAAATGGCTCCAGAGAAGGGGACTCCCTGTTCTCCAGATGATATCCTTAGATTTCAATGAAGCACTGGAATCTGCACCTCTTGTGTGAACATAATGATGGTCCCTGGGACACTTCTTACCACCACCCAAGCACCAGTTTGTAGGGCTAGTGTCAGTTCTCCATGTCAAAGGAATTCTTTGGTTTTACACAGATGCAGCTGGTGGTAGGGAGATGCCCACTTTGCCACTGAAATAACTCTTCCCATGCAATTCTAACCTGCCATTACCTTTCCATTCCTCGATTGTATGTTCCCTTTCATCCAACTGTTTATCATATATCTGAGGAGGAGGCTGCAGGAGAGAAACAAAGCTGTTCAGTCAGTTGTCTGTTAACAGTGTAAATAATTAGGAGTAATTATTTCAGTAAAGATAAATTTCAGATAAAAGTAAAATAAATTCTCCCTCTTTGTTTTCCATCCTGTATATGAAACACGTTTGAATGTAAAAGAATTAACCCTTCTGGAATTCAACTCTTAATGTAGAAGAAATCAATATATTTGTCCCTTTTAAACAAAAACACAATTGCACTTGAAATAGAACCCAGGTCAGCAATGCCATTGTGTTTATACTGACTCTGGAAAATCTACACAAAGGTTGTTTGTACTGGCAGAGAAAGTAGTGTTAAGAGTACCAGACAAATACCAATCCTTATTAATTACTAGTAAATTTACTATATTTAAGTTGCCCTGCAGACATCATACTCACTGCTATACAAAATTCTCAAAATAACTCTAACTTGAAGTAAATCCCCAGAATTTCTGATCCATGTTTCAAATTCCCCGGGTTTTCCAGTGTACCTATTTTTAGGCAACCAGAAAGGCTTCTTTTTTTACTGTGTTTCTTAGAAACAGCAGATCCTGGAGTTTACTGAGGCAAAGGCAACTAGTTTCCAAGAGCCTGAATACCTGCTTTCATTGGGCAACTAAGCCATGTGCTGACTGTCTCCCCTGATGTCAGCTGCAAAATACAGCAGCCAAACAAGGCTGAGGACTCTCTCCTCTTTACTTCTACCAAGAAGCTTCAGCATCCAAGCTAAGAGTATCTAACGAAGATGGAAACAAGCTCTACAAGGCTTTTCTTGCTCAGAAGTATTTCCTCTACCTTTCATCTTGGGCACCTGGCCATTGTGTCCCTTTCAAAACACCCTACTATTAAATGCACATGAACTGAGCCGTTTTCTGCTTCACTAGGAAGTTGAACATTTTTACAGATGCAACTAAGAAAGTAACACCTCAGTGATGTAATATGGACCAGGAAAATTATATGATATCTGACGTGGACAATCCACTGAAACCAAGAGAAGTTCCTGCAGAGTAACATTTGTATCAGAGCTAAAGACGAGGGAACTAGAGGAAGTCCTGGATTGCCAATTCTCATACCTGAGAAGGTGGCAAGAGAGAACCTGAAACGTGTCACAATGACAGTAATGCTAGGCCTCAGCAGGGATACCTAAGGCTTCCTACAAGGAGGAAGGAGTCCTCCAGGAAAGGAGTCTCATTCCAAAACCAGTGCAACCATTCTTTTATCCAGCATAACCACTTTTCTTGGTCTCTTCCAGTTAGTCTGGAAGCTTAAGATAGATTCATCCACACATGATGCAGTCTCCATTAGGACTCCATGTTCCTGCTGGTCATGATATCAGGGAGCTGCATGCTCTAAAAGAGAGCAGGTGAGGCTCACCATGGACCAGCAGGATGCAGTAGCTAAGCTCCAGTCCTCCAGCTGAGCCTGCTGGACTGCTTCTCAGCCATTCCACCAGCCCTGCATCATGCCTTTCCTATCCAGGGAAAGCAGAGAAAGCTGGTGGAGACAGGGAAACCCTGGAGGTCTAAGAATTTACAGGAGACTTCCAGGGGCTGTCAGCTCCACTACACAGCTGACTTGGATTTTTTGGTACTAGTAGGGGAGGCATTTGGCTGAGCTGTAGTCTTGAATCACAGCGACAGACCCACTGCTCCTCTGTCAGATGGAAGGAAAGCAGGAAAACCAAGTTGAGCTAGAATATCCTGCAAGTACCTTTCTTTCTAAAAGCTTCAAGGAGAGGCTTACAAAAAGCACAGGCTGTAGGAAAAACTGCTCTTACCAAGTGTAAACACTCTTTTTACACCTTCCACAGAAGAACAGGATGATTTCTCCCCTGGCCAGAAATAAGAGGAGAGATTCCTTCACTACTTCAATTCCCAAACACACATTACAGAATCAAAAGGAACAAGTGATCAGATGCACATTCCTGTCCTTAGTTCAGACAACCACAAAATCTTTGGCTCATGTCTCTTCTAATTTATTTCAGCTACATCTTAAGCAGGCATAACTGGCTATAAGAAAAGCAGCAGTAATTCTTTCCTAGGTTAACACATTCTGGAAATGAAGACATTTTCCAGAAAGAGAGCCCAGGATAATCTCCTTTGTCACTGAACTCCTGTTTTGCTATGAAGACAGTCAAAGGAGAGCAACCAAACTCTGTACTTCACACACAGCAACATGCTGAACCTGCACCTGCACAGCATTCTGCTGCTGTGCCAGAGTCCCTGCTGCAGATTTTGATTTGTGAGTTAGCAGAACCCCCAGCTATAAAACATGGCTCTGGGCAGGAGCACGAGAGCCAAGGGTAACAACTATTCAGTGGGACCATAACAGCAATAAATCCCTGCTCTTCAAACAGGCAGGATCTTGAACCTCTCAAACCTGTGCAGAACATGGGTGAATGGTGCTCTCCTGAGGAGCATTTTCATTGATTCAAGGCACAGAGCTGAGCTGGGAATACCACAAGAGTTTCAGGAATGAATTTCTTTTCCCACGATCCACATTAATCTTAATGAGAAGCACAAAGCTTAAGAACTTCTTATCAGCCTAGATAATCCCTTCCAGGCTGACCGCCCATTTTCCGCTAATTTATTTGTTTGGGTTTTTTTTTAAACCAGTCTCTAAAATTAAAGGAAGAGAGGATTTTAACAAAAGTACTGTCACAGCAGTGGAGCACACAGAGCAGCTGCCACACCTGGGTCCTCCCCAGGCAGCTGACTTCTGTCTTGTTGCAAATGTTGGCCTAAAAATTATGTTTCTGCCTAACTAAAATGTGTTAAAAAATGAATTAGTTCATTATTATTCATTTCCTATGTGGATAAAGCTGCAGTATTTTAGATATTCTTATGAATCCTTCATACAGCACATCCCAACTCAAGGTGATACAGTTTCATCTGTACAAGTTGCAGAAAAAGTCTAGTTAAACTAGCATTAAATAAAAGCAGAGTGTGGATCAAGCCTATGGGTGGCAGCAAACAGCTTCAGTTTAGGGTAGCCATTTTCTCCCCAAATCAGATTGATTTGTGAGCACTTGCATTGGCAGCAATGACAAAGAATAGAATCTATTTCTGGATGCAGAAGAGAAGGAATGAATGATGTTTTTCTTGTTTAAATGAAAAAAATTCCTTGTCGTTTCAGTCATTCTTGTCTTTCACATTTTACAAATGGATTTTAAAAAATATTCTTGCATTAAAATCAACATTAATGGAATATAATATTGTTTTTTAAAAAAACAAAAAACCACACAGAGCTTTTTCTAAGAAAAAAAAAAATCCCAAATAAACCCCCCAAACCATCACATAAGACAGCTTTGTTGTTTCTTTTTTTTTTCATGTGGTCAGATAAACACCAGGAGAGTTGAATACCTTTCAAATATCCAGAGAGGAAAAGCTTTTCACTAGGGGACAAAAGCAAAACAGATGTGGAGGCTGATGTCTTCTCACTTTTCCAAAGCAACACAGATGGGTTTGAATGCTACTGCTAGAAAGAAAAGGGAATGGGCTGGAGCTCACACTGGAATAAATCCTCCCGTCTCTGCCCCTGCCTCAGCAGAGCTAGTGCCAGTGCAGTGAAGACATTGGGATGAGCTGTTTTTAGAAAGCTTGGCAGGAGCAAGGCTTGATCCTGCATCTGTTCCTGGAATTGCAGGGTCTGGAGCACTAGCTGTGGAGTGGTGTACTAGGCAACGATAGAATTAGCAATATACAAATATCAAAGGCAATGCATGCTGTAAAAATTAATGGTGTGAGGTTAAACAATTTGTTAAATGGCTCAGATTCTCATCTTAAGTTAATAGAAAAATTCCTTTGTGTTTTGCTACAACTCAGATTGTGTTACTGCTACCAAAAAAAAAAAAAGAAAATACTTTTGCAGTGCAAGCCGAAGTACACCAGTGTGCTGTCACCAGAGGCCTGGAGACTCTTTAGCTAGAGAGAAAAGTGTCAAGGGGCTTGGATTTCACTGTGTATTGCCCAGGGACTCCACAGTGGGATGGGCATGATCTCAACTGTGGATATAGCAGAGGAGATGCCTCTGTGCCCATTCATTCCTTGGGCTCTTTGCAGAGCTGTGTGGAAAACTCCATGCATAGTATGCATCAAAGAAACTGTGGTCTGAGATGTTTCTGACCAGCTGGACTGTAAGGATACCATGCAGCAGGAGTCAGGATGTCTTGGCTACACACAGATGACTGAACAGCTTGCAGATCCATGCAACAGCAAGCTGGGAAAAGCTTCAGATTGGTTTGGAAAAGAAAAAGAAGAAAAGACATGCCCTTTCTTCTCTAACCTCTGCTTCTGACTGAGATGAACAAAGATTGCTGAAGATGTTGTGTTCAGTTTCAATAATTAACCAGCTATAAATGGAGAGATGTGGCTGAATAGAGGAAATATCCATGCTTGTGTAGAAACCAGAGCTGCAAACTTCTTCTGTGAGATGACAAATGCCCACCATCGACCTCTAAGCAGAAAACCAAACCCTCCAAGTGACTAACAGGAAACCCCCATGGCAGCTCACCAGAATGTTGAGATACAACATCCATGCACACTGGGCTGAGCCAATCATGAACACAGATCCTAAATCTGTATGTGAATATTCATAAGGAAAAATGGGGACAAATGGTTTGAAAAAAAATACTTAGACTACAGTCTTTCATTTTCCTGTAGCCTTCATTTATAAAAGCTGGCTCCCAAACATAGCTAAGGTAGGTAAGCACAAAAAGTTATGACATTTAGAGTCAGCCAGAAGTGGCAAGTTGTAACACAGATGCACAGAAAGTGTAGCAACACCTACTCCTCAAAGAGGAACTTCCAGTCCCAGAACCTTAGAACACCATTTTTAGAAAGAGAAAGCCACCAGCTTCCCATGAACTTATTCCATCATCAGGACTGCTGATGAAAAACACACACTGACTGCACTTCAACAGCTGAATCAAGAGGCAAAGAAAATCCAACTAAAAAAAAATTAATAGATGGTTGATAGCTAGTCCCTGAAAGTGTATCAGGGTGAACAGATGGAAATTTAGAATGTTAACCTCACAATAACTGTGCAAAGACTCAGGTGCATGAAGAGAACAGAGAGTCATACAAAAAGATGCAGTTCAGACAAAGATGCAAACTACAAGTAACTGGGACAACAGGGAGCATTTGTAGTTGAACATTTCAAGGGGCTGTTCCTTCCCCACGGGACATCCTCTGTTCTTTGAGGTGCTACAGGAACAATGACAGTTTAGTTTCCCCACTGCTTTACACCATCTGTAGACATTTACTGAGCAATGATATGCAGATAACAGTGAAAAGGCAAGAAATGTGATATTATGGTTTATGGCACCATATTTGTACAGGTATCTATAGTGTTAGGTGATGCACATGAGAACCAAATGGCTCCAGGAACTAGAACATAATTACTGCATGCTTTTGAGAACTAGTGGGCTCATTAGATTCCAGCCAAGTCACCTGGCAGGCAAGCCAAGTAATTATTATTCCTACTTTACAGTCATGTTCCAGAGAAAGGAGGTGGTTTGTTCTAGATCACGTGAGGACTCTGTGGTAGAATTAGATATTTAAACATTGTCTCTTCAGCTATAATGTACCCCTGATCTCTGTCTGCATAAGAGGACAGTAATAAGAGGTTTAACATCAGCTGTAATTGTAGGCAGGAAGTGGGGGTGAGTGAATGTCCATGGGGCTGGTTCTTTGTTGCTGGGTGGGCCAAACCAGGACAGACAGTTCATATAACAAAGAGATACATCCTGTCCCTGCAGATCTCACTTCACAGAAATACAAAGACCACCACCAGTCACACCAACATAAGTTTCTTGGCAGCATGCTCATTCTCAAGCTCCTGCAAAGCAGCAGGTATCTCTGAGTCCTGTCTGCTTTCAGTGTCTGAAGTCAGGAGTCAAGCCTCACTTACCGCCTCCACTTCTGCTGGGTCATACCAGACATTAATGTATGGATGCTGTAAGGCTTCATCTACTGATATTCGCTTGGCCGGATCAATGACCAGCATCTTGGATAAAAGGTCCCTGGCTTGGCTGGCTGGAACAATGAAAACAGATAAACACAGTATTAGTACCAAAAAATCCCTGCCTCCAGGGAAGGGGCAATTGGGTTAGGAAAGTAACAATGACACAACCCTTTTAGAGGTGGCAGGCACTTCTGCCTCTTGGCTTGTTAGAGGAAGAGCTCTTCAGTCACCATTTGAGGTCAGATTCATTAGGCAGGTGCCAACATCAGGGTTGGGACCATAAGTCCTCTAACAAGCTTCAATGAGGATTCTGTGTAAAATAACATACCCAGGAAAAATGTGCTTCAGGTATCTCAGTGCCAGGATCAGAAAACAAAAGCTCACATAATGAAGTCTAAACTCATGGCACTTCTAAACCAAAGCCAGAAACTTTCAGGTACTCTTACTGTGGCTCATAAAAACATCCCAACTTTTCTGTACATTTTAAAGGTTTTCACCTTAGCCTGCTGGGAGGCTTTAAATATTTCAGTGAGGTATAGGTAGAAGTCTTATCTCAGAGTATCCCATTGAAGCAATAACATCCAATCTGGAGGCTGGATCAATACACAGTGGTCTGGAAGTACCTCAGAAATGCTGAGGTCTTGTTTGTCCAAATAACAAAGTTTAAATTAGTGGGACACTTCCTCCACTACAAAAATGCACAGTCTTACAAATATATTGGGTTTTATATTGCAACATGGATTTATTTTACTTGGTAATATAGCCCATTGTGCCTACCAGGCCACAAACTCATCCTTCTAATAACTTAATTGTTTGTACTGTTGAAACGAATATAATACCATCTAAAGCCATGTAAAAAAAAACAACCAAACAACATACATATCTAATATTACTATCAATGTAGTGTTCTAAGCTCTTCCATGCTCAAAATTATTTCCTGTGTAAATGAGAAAGAAAGTCAAAGGAAAAAGAATGTAAAGAGATGTAAGTCCAAAAATATTAGGTATCACATCAGACATGGGTGAGTAAAAGCAGTATCTAAACCATTAACCTTCCATTATGGTGAAATATATAGGCAGGGCATGGGTGATACAATGATGCACAAGCAGAATTTTTTTAATGCACTGTTATTTGTTCTGTCATTAACTCTTACAAACTGGCATTCTGTATGCTCAAATGCATGTGCTTCCTGTATCCAAAAGACAATGGCACTGTTTGGACAGTCATTTCTATTCATTAGTTCCAAATCCAAGAAAATTCTGTTACTGAATTTTAATGTAGTAGGGGTATAAAACTCTGTGTATCCGAAAGCATCTACTCAAGAGCTTTCACTTTGCTTCCAGAGCTGAGACAGTCGCCTTGCTATAAAACAGCTGTTAACTGGAAGAGTATTCTGGGTAATGTAATGACATGCAAATTGCAAGCGATTGAAAACCACTACGTGCCACCACAGTAAGTGGCCCCAAGTCCTCAAGTGGTGCATAACTGATGCCCAGTACAAGTGTGCAGGGGTTCCAGAGCCGTAACAGGAAATCCTTTCGATACTAAACACACATTCATCACTCTGTCCAAGTGAAGGTCAATACCCTGTTTAAGTAAAACATGACTTCAATCCACTATGAAAATCATTGCAGCTTCTATTTTACAGGGGTATATCTAGTCACACGGTAATTAAATTAGTGCTCTACTTCACATAGCCAGACAGACTCTCAGCATTTTTTAAAAGAAGAAATCCACCTGTAAGCAGCTACTAAACCTCAGCTGCATCAAGGCCATTTTGGTTGACATTGTTAACACCTTTCTCTTGTCTAGTAAAGGTAGAGCTATGAGGCAGGCACCTGGCTGAATTGAGTTTTCAACTAAAACAAAACAGTGCAACCACTGAGACCTTCCAATGGACATTCTACTGTTACTCTATGTTTAAGATAAGAGTAAAGGAACACTTCAGTTTCTCCATCACACAGAAAAATACACAGGGATAGGCTTATTAACACATCAGTAATAATATACGTTCCCTTGGCTGCACCAGGGTCTCCAAAAATCATTTCCAAAACCAGCCTCTCAGCGGAGCAAAGCTCATGCAGTCATTCATCTCAGCGACTAATGCATCGAAAGGGAGTGCAATCAGAGAGAAGAAAAACTGTAGCTGTTGACATGTGAACCAAGCCCCTTTGTCAGACATACCTTTGAGTTTGTTGTGTTCTGAGTCAGCTGGGAAGAGCGAGTCTGGAAAAAGTTTGGGGAAAGTGAGGCCAGTGTACTTGGGTCTGTTCTCAACGTAGTTCCGTACCGTCGGCTGCAGCTTCTTCATGAATTCTGGACAGGGTGTTCCCAGCTGCTCAATAACTTTATTCCACTGATCAATATCTGAATGTGAGTAGTTAAGGAAAACAAACCACAAACCCCAGTGTCGTGTCCTGACATTTCTGTTTGAATGTTCTCTGGGAATCCTCAGAGGCGTTTAACTCCCTTCATACCATCTTTGCAGTCACCATTTTTCATCATTAGGCCTCCAGGTCCTGCAGCCTGCAAAGGGCAAAACTCTCTCTCACAGTTATAGTTATTCAGGGCATTGTGCAATCTGAAAGCCACCACTGTGGGAGAACCCACAGCTTCCTCTCTTCGGGTCAACTCCTTACTATTGTTATTTCTAACTTGCAACCCAGTGAGTTGCACCCCCTTGTTTTTACTCTTTCCAGTAACTTTACTGATGCTAATTTTGCTCAAACCACCCAACCATCAACACTTCCAAAGCCATTTGTTTGTTTTTTATAAGAACTCCCTGGGACTCATTTTCTATACACAAATGATGCCTCAGGTACAGACAGATGTTCCTCTTTAGCTGTAAATGTGACAACTTCATTGCTCAACTGTTACTGTCTTGATAAGAAACAGGATCTCATGCTTAAAAATAAATTGTCTTACAGGCAATTTGTACTGAGCTTTTCATTTTGTTTTGGTGTTGATTGTTTTTTGGTTTTCTTGAGAAAACAATTAGGCATCTGATAAGTGTTATGTAGCTCTTATGGCCATGTTCAGAACAAGCCTTACTGTGCAAAGTTTTTTTATACTATTATTAAACCAATGTCTATAAATCCAGTACCATGTCTACATCACAGTGCTAAGGACCTGATGACAACATAAAAAAGGAAGAGTCCATGCAGGCAAGGGTACAGTGATGCTAAGAAATATGAAGGGAGCTTTGTTAAGAACATACTACAAAAAACTTTTAAAAAACAAACATTAAAAGCATTTTAGCACAGAGTTGTTTGGGTTTTTTTGAAATTGTTCTTCCAAGTTATTATTGTCATGAGTGTCTTAAGTGTGGAGATATATTCCCAAATACTAACGAACGTTCATCACAAACTAGGAGAGCAATAAGGTTAACAGAATGAGGGGAACAAGTAAGAAAAAGTCAGGAAAAGAGCAGCTCTTTGGTGCAGTAACGATTTTAGATTTTGAAAAAAAGTGTCTTAGGTGAGGAAAATGGAAACTTGGGATTTTCAAATACCTTCAAAAAATCAAGACAGATAATTTTGGTTCACCGAAACGATCATAATTTGAACAAAAATAAAAGAATTCATTTTAAGATTGCAGCTTTACTAATCCAAAGTGTTTAAAGGAATGAAAAGAATTTAAACATATGCTTCCAGAATGCTAAAATAGTGTTTTGAATGGTTTTCATTTCAGCTGAAAAAGGTTGCTAGAAATAGCAGTGGTTTGTAAGTAATTTTTAAATTAACTTTCACTTTTTAAACTAAATCAATGTTTATGTAGAACAACCCCTGACATACACACACACACTCGACAGGTTGTATGTATCTTGTGTTGTCCATGGAAAAATACCTTTTTATGAACAGAAAAGTAAAGAATTGCAACCACAAGAAAGTTATCCAAGACCAAAGCTGCTCAAAGAGTAGCTTGAATGTTTCATTAAACATTTAATTTTAAAATAAAGTGTTTTGACATGTTAAACTTGTATTCAAGTTAACACACCTAGTTGTTAACTGACTGGACTATTTCAGAAGCAGGTCTTTTGAAGCAACTTGAAAACCTAGGTTGTGTAAATGCTTTGCAGAGAAGAACAGAAAATACAGAAGTTCAGGTGCTATTAGCTGTGCTGAGAGAAGGTAAATGGGTGAGAAAACCAAGCTATAAAAGCCTCACGGAAGCATTATCTGTGCAGATTGATTTGATAAATGGAGAGCCAAATATAGGACTTCCTTCAAAGCAGATGTCAGAAGCTTTCACAGAGCAGTTTAGGCATCTCTAAGGCTTTTAATGAAGGCATTTACAGAACACAGTGGGAGTTGGACATGTTGAGAGGGCAGATGCAGTAAGATGCTCTGGATGCATGTGATACAGGAAAAGTGTAAAAGCAGATCCCAGAACAGGGCCTCCATGGTGGGAACCAGTGTCAGTCGTGATGGAGAGGGGAGGAGGAGGATCCTCAGACAATGGGGCAGTGCCCACTACACACACTCCTTCTAAGCTGACAGAAGGGAGAGACAACAGGCAGACAGGCAGTCAGGAAACCACCCACGACTGGAAGATTTCAAGGGATGGAAGAATTTTCATGCGTCATAAGTGCAAAGATGACAGCCAAAGCCAAGGGAGCTGGCAGAGCCACCATGTTCCACTCCTTCACTAGCCTTGATTTGCAGAAGGACATCACTGGAGCTTTTGCAACCCTAACCAGCAACAAGGAATAAAAATGTCAGGCTTTACATCAGAGCAATTTCAAGGACTGGTTTTGAGTAAATTAATAATCTGAATGGGTAATGGTGCTGTATTATTTCTGACTTGGGTTGTTAAAATACTGCCAAAACCCTTGGATATATCTTTTAATTCACTCTCCATATATATCTATGCACACACACACACAAAATTGATGTGATGGGAACACTCAGGATATGGTTTTGTCCTAATATTAGCAATAGCAAAACCATTCCCAGCAAGAGCAGGTGGAGACTGACCATTTTTCAGCCAGATGCACACACATATTTTTTTCTCTAGTATTGTTTTTCCCCTTTTCTAGGCCTCACTACCACTGCACTATATTCTTAAGTCACATACAAGAAAATGTGCAAGAATGTAGCAATCTTCTTGCTCAGCACTGGTTTGGCCCCATTTCATTGTTGTTTGATGGTTGTAATGGATCTGTGGTGCAGCTGAGGGTAAGAAGTTGTAGCTATCAAGGGGCAAGATTAAAAAAGTTTTGAAAAAAATCTGAAGTCTCCTTATTGAAGCAAAGAGAAGACACTTTCTCTAGCTAACAGGCAGGATTAAATCCAGCAAATCTTCAGAAAACTAATGTTACTGCACAACAGTCCTAATGTGAATCGAAACCTGCTGTAGGTTACATTAACCAATGAGTGATTCTGACTAAAGAAGTTACTTGCACAGCAACTAAAAATGTTGTAGCAGATAATGATCAAGTAACTCTGACAAGAGATTTCCCAAGGCCAAAAAAGACTAACCTGTGTTTGAGTGAAAAAACTTAAAGAAGAAAATCTTCTGCTAAGAGAAGACCCTGTGTTTCAACTTGAAATTAAGCAAATATTGGATAGACTGGATATTTGAAAGAATTACAACCCAAAACACTGGCAGATAAATGTCTGCTTTAAAGCTGTTTGGACCACTTCAGCTGTCCCTTGCCCCAAACAGGACCAAGGAAAAATTATCAACTGTTCACAACACAATGTGTCTGACTTGAGAGAGAAGGAAGGATCTAACCTGGGTTTGTTAGTTTGTCCCTGGCACTAACGCTGCAGCATTTTTACTGACAGTGAGATGGCCAAAATTACAGCAAAGAAATGTATTTAAGAACACATTTCTAAAATGTGTATCTTCTGAATGAAGATGTATCATCGAGTGAAGCCTCAGATTGCCTCTTCTCTTTGCACTCTAGTACTGTCTTAAGGATTGCTCTCCTTTGCTTTCTAAATACTTGGCTAATTACTTGGAAAATAACCAGAATCTGAACTGCCAAGGAAGAGACTTACTTTTCTAAAGCAAAAGCACAACATTTTTAATAGCAAAGAGAATATCTGGAATGCACAATAAAGTATTTATATTGGGAAAAACAGATTTCACAGCAAAGTAATCTAGTCAGAGGTACAGGTGGGAAGTTTACTCTTAGTTTTGCTTCTGTTCCCATGGATTTACTGTGTGTTTGGTATTTCAGAAGTGTGAATTAAGGACCACCATTTTATTCCTTCAGTTGGCCTGCAGACTTTCATTTCTGCAGGTATTCAAACAACTGAGGCAATACATGGAGCTTGGCTATAAGGGAAAACTTACAATTTTTCTCTGTCTCAATCAGAACATTTAGACAAGAAGTCATTGTCTTTATACTTAAGCTAGCTAGCTAGCCTTAAAATGGCAATTTTTCTTTTTCCATCTCATGTTATGTCTGTGATTAATTATTTATTTTTTTTTTTTGAGGAAAGGATTTTATTATGTTCAACAGCAAGGTTTGCAGGAGGAGGTAATGTTTGCAGTAGGATGTGTTAGTTCTACTGCAATACAAATAAGAACATCCTACAATGTATGTATAGTTAAGACAGTTCACTCTTCCCTAGTAGTCAGAGAATTAATCTTTAGCAGTAACTTACGCTAATCATTCACACTTCTTTTTCTGAAAAAGGGAGGGGTAAAAAAAGTTCCTGTTGCAAATCTAACAGTCAGATGATCATTAGAAACCAACCATCACCTTTCCACACTACTCTGAAATGTGACTGTGCTAGGAAAGCCTACTCCTAAAACCCTCCTCAGGCAGTATCTGTGGGCTGTGATGTGGAAAGCAGTTCTGCCAAAATGCCTGTTAATAACAGAGCTTTTGGAATTGCACTGGATGGTGGTGGTGATGGAGCACACAGGACTTGACTTCCTTCACCAATTAAGCAGCACACCCATGCCAGCTTTACTGGAGTAGGATTTGCTCTTTCTGGCTAAATGTGCTTCTTCTGGAGATGGGTAGGACTAGGGCACTTCCAATCTTGCTTGTGTTAATGTAGGCACAAGGAAAACAAGATGTACATGGAGCTCTTCATAACAGACAGGGTTAGCTTCATCTCTTTTCATTCTCAAAATCTCAAAACCACCTTTCTGAAAGTTTTCTCCTTCTTCGTTGTTCTACCAACAAAACCTGACTGCATCGCTTCAGGTTCCAATTGTTTATGCTCTTAACTTTTCAAAATTAGAGTAATTATTACAAGCAGCTCTGTATTTCTCTGCCCAACACTAAACTGATGCATCAACTGTGAAGCTGACAGCTCAACTGATTTTCATGTTGTTTCATTTTTTGGAATTTTGCCTTTTTTAAATCTGTGACTAAGAACCAAATCAGCCAACTTCACTGTGGG